ATGACCAATGGGAAGAGGATATCTGCTAAGTGGAACGAATTCATGAAGATGTTGCACATTCGTGATGAGGGGCTCAATGTGCCCGTTGGTGTCCACCCACACAGCAACCCAGAGTCTGCCAACAAGAACAAGCTTCAACCGTTCCTTGTGGAGAAGAAGTTAGTCAATGGCACGCAGTCTTGGGTACTCAGCCCTTTCCTTGACGTCATGCACCGGATCTTCCGCAACACTCTCTTTCCGCGCATTGGTGACAAGGATAAGGTGCATGCTTATCTCGTGGATATGATGCTTCTTTGTGAGGAGGCGCGTCATCAAGTTACCCAACCATTGGACGTCTCTCATGTCATATGGGTTGAGCTCTGGTTTGCGGTCTACAATCGCAAAGTTCCCATCTATGGACCATACCTGCATCTCTTGATCTCGAAGACTTGGGAGAAGCTCTTTCCGAATGAAGACTTTTCTGCTCCAAACTGGGTTCTCCATGAGCCTATCAAGCTGCGTCAGAAGAACAAGCTGGCCAATACCACTACCTGGGTTGAGGCTAAGGCTGCTAGGATGAATGTGGATGAGGACGAGGTTGAGGAGGAGGAGGCTGAGGACAGTTCTGCGGGGTACGCTCCTCCCTCTACTGAGCCCTCTTGGACTAAGAGGCTGAAGGCAGATGAAGGCTCTGTTCTGCATGCAGGCCAAGGGGTAGTACAAGACCCATGTCGCTCAGAAGAAGAGTCACCAGCGCAACAAGAGGATCTTGAGGATGTTCGGCGAGCATGTATCAAGCGGGTCAAAGAAGAACATCACTCCTGAGGCTGACTGGATGACGAAGCAGGGCTATCAGTGGACCGAGTCAGAGGAGGAGTCCATTCCCGCTGCCGAGACCGATGAGGAGATTGTTGGGTGATTTCTGCAGAGGGAGCTACCACCTGTGTTGTAGTTGTCCTCTTTGCCTTTTTGGTGTCTTGACGCCAAAGGGGGAGAGAGTGTAGGATTTGCGAGTCATGTCTCTTTGTTTTTGTTTCGTTGGACCTTCGTTCGTTGCTTTGGTTTGTTGGTTTGTGTTCGTGTGAGACCCGGAGACTATCATATGGTGTGAGACATATGCACTCAAGCTTATCTTATTCTCTATTATGCTTAGTAGTTTGTGAGCTTATGCTATCTTGTGCCCTTTGCTTTTATGCTCATATACATTACCTTGCCTCCATGCTTAGTGTCATTTATATTGTTGCAAGGAATGCCGTCTATAAAATATAGGGGGAGTGTTGATCCCAGTATGTGTGTCGTGCAGTCCAAAGTATATCTATAGAGTGCACACATCTAGGGGGAGCTTGTCTATATTTTATAGGTGTTGGGTTTGTTTATGTTCATTTTATATCTTATGTGCAAATCTCGTATTGTCATCAATCCACCAAAAAGGGGGAGATTGTAAGGGCATATTTCTCCCTATGCGGTTTTGGTTGAGCATTTCAGATATCTCATGTCTAGGCACAAGACGATTCGGTGCCCCTCGAAGCCTAGTGAAGACGACATTTCTCTACGTTTCTTTTTGGTGGATTTGAGTCGTAGTAAAGACGTACTATTAAGGGGGGGACGCTTCAGAAAGGTTAGGGTGGAATCAACACGTACACGTCTGTTCCTTTGCACCATCTTTCCTTTGCTTCTTTGGAGCACCGACCGTTTATCCGTGTCTTTATAAAATGAAGGACACCAAGTGCTATTGTGCTGTGGCGTGCGGTAGTACTGCTCAAGGGAGCAGTAGTACCGCAGTGGCCCACGGTAGTACCGGCCAGGGAAGCGGTAGTACCGCTCCTCAGGAGCGGTAGTACCGTGGCCTCTAGCCCAGCACACTGACTTGCGCAATCTGTTATTGGAAGTAATTTTTTACATCCCCGCCCTACACGGTAGTACCGCTCCCTGCATGCGGTAGTACCGTGCCGGATTTTTGCACAAACTGAAACTCAGCGGAAGTAGCCACGGATGTAATTTTTTTAGTCTGTGCCTTCCCAGCCTAGTCAAACCCTGCCTTGAGGTAGTACCGCAAGGACGCGCGGTAGTACCGCTCCGGCGGTTCTACTGCTCGTTGCTTTAATGCAATAGGGCCTCATCTGGTCTCTGCCGTTGGAGCGGTAGTACCGTACTATCGAGCGGTAGTACCGCAAGGCCTTGCGGTAGTACCGCAAGTCGGTGCGGTAGTACCGCATGTCGTGGGCTGAGTTAGTGGGTAACGGTTGGATCTTTCCTCTCACTATATAAGGGGGTCTTCTTCCCCAAGCTGACCACCTCTTCGCTCCCCAAGCTCCATTATTGCTCAAAACTCATTTTCACCCGATCTCTCTCCCTAGCTAATTAAACTTGTTGATTCTCTAGGGATTGGTTGAGAAGGCCCCGACCTACACTTCCACCAAGAGAAATTTGATTCCCCCCACTAATCCCTTCCGGATCTTGTTACTCTTGGGTGTTTGAGCATCCTAAACGGTTGGGGTCACCTCGGAGCCATATTCCATCATGGTGAAGCTTCATGGTGTCGTTGGGAGCCTCCAATTAAGTTGTGGAGATTGCCCCAACCTTGTTTGTAAAGGTTCGGTCGTCGCCTTCAAGGGCACCAATAGTGGAATCACGACATCTTGCATTGTGTGAGGGCGTGAGGAGAATACGATGGCCCTAGTGGCTTATCGGGGAGCATTGTGCCTCCACACCGCTCCAACGGAGACGTACTTCCTTTCAAAGGGAAGGAACTTCGGTAACACATCCTCGTCTCCACCGACTCCACTCTTAGTTATCTCTCACCTTTACTTGTGCAAGCTTATATTTTGTTTGTATCCCTTGCTTGCTTGTGTGCTTGTTGTTGTTGCATCATATAGGTTGCTCACCTAGTTGCATATCTAGACAACCTACTTTGATGCAAAGTTTAATTTGGTAAAAAAGCTAAAAATTGTTAGTTGCCTATTCACCCCCCCCCCTCTAGTCAACTATATCGATCCTTTCAATAAGTGATCTTTGTCACTTGTTGTTTATCTTTGGTCATGTGACCATGCAAGTGTCATATAAGTTGTCCTCATCGTAGTTACATCAAGGTCCTTATATTTCACCAAGCCTAACTTGTAAAGAAAATTAGCTAAAATGTGTAGAAGACCTATTCACTCACCCTTTAGGTTTGACTCGGCCCTTTCAATTGCTATAAGAGCCAAGGACTCTTTCCGAGGGCTTCACCGCCTTAAGAGTGTGATGGCCCAGAAAAAGGGTGTGACCAGATAATTCCGGCCAAGCCATGAAGATTTACTCACCCACCGACATCGACAAAATGATGTTAGATTATAGCGTCGAAATGGGCCATCACCAGCATAGTTGTGAAGCTCTTTCGCTTTCGTCCCATAGTGGTGACGGTTCCGCCTCACAAACGGTAGAGTCTCCAATCAAGGTCGCTGGTAGTGTTCCTCCACCTACCTCCAAGCAAGCCAGCTGGAATTACACACCACCACTGCCTTCTGCCCCTCAACATTCACTATGTCGGCCCTCCACTTGTCTTTTGAGAGATCACACTTTGCTCATTGCAAAATTTATATGAAGTCTCACATTTAGCTCATCTGTGGTGCTATGGGAGATCGTGGTGCGAGGATTAATCCGGTTGATGTCAGAAATATGACTCGTGAAGTAATTCAACCCGGTTAATGTCAGAAATTTTGAATCCTTCGTCCCGGGATGTCTCATGGCCCCTGTCTCCTACTCGAGACGACGCCTTCCCTCGAGACCCTTCGTGTCCACATCGATCCGTCCTTGGAGGAGCCTGATGATGAGATACCTCGGCAGTCGACCTTGCTTCGGCAAAACTGCTTGAACGAGTTCGTGATGCTTGGTTTTGAAGCAGCGGAGAGGCATGTTTACCTTGTTCGTGATGCTTGGTTTTGAAGTCAGATTTGTCGCGGGAGTATGCGCGGCTTTGTGTCGTTCGTATCACCTTGTTCAAGAACGGGCATGTTTGCGACAAGGGGGACTGTGACTGGGAAGGGTGACGCAGCGACAACAGTGGTCGTGGGCCGACGAGGACAAGACCGCCAGGATGATCTTGAACGTGGATGGAGTTTCATCCTCTCCCATAGCTCCTAGTCAACTTTTTTTTTGCTGATCAGCTCGTCTCATTTCTGTTGTAGAGTTCAGTGGTTGATTTTTTTTTTTCCGTTGCCCATCTCTAGATGTTCAGGGAAAATGCAACAAGAAGAACCAACCGGTTACCAAACACAAACAAGGTCGTCGGACATCACTCCCCGTCCAGGCACCTCTTCGTGTGACATTGTGAAACGCATGGCGCTGGCGGAGCTGCAGCCTGCAGCCACGAATCGTTGAGCTTCATAGACGTATGATGCTGATGGCCTCCTTGAGTACCTTGCGCTCCAGTTCTGCTGCTCCTCTACAAGGCGGGAGAGCCTTTAGATTGGAATGGACGACAGATTTATGAGCTGCAGCATGCATACAGTAACAACCGTACTGCAGAGGAGCAGAACCCAAGATTGTTATGTCTTATTGGGGCGTCTTTGATTCACAAGATTCTAAAAGCGTAGAAATAGGAAACATGCCGGAATGTGATATAGGAAGACAACAGAGGACTAGGAAACTCAGGAATTATGTAAACTTGCGTTTGGTACGCAAGAATAGGAAAACCAAATAAATCCTACTTTCTCTGTTCCATAATTCTTATCGTGGTTTTAGTTCACTAAACACAGTCAAATCAAAGTCAAATAAAGTGAAAAGGTATAATTAAGATGATATTATACCACTAAAGACTCATATCTAATACTTCATGTGTAGAGATTCTAAAAGGAGGTTCAACTGGATTGTAAAATTCCTGCATTTTTCCTTTAAAAGAGGGATCAAAGGAAATTCTCCTCCATTTTCCCTTTGAACCAAATGAATGAACAGTGCTATCAAAAGAAATCCTCATGTTCCTATAATTTTCCTCTACTTTTCCTCTGAACCAAACAACCCCTTACTACAACTGCTGGAGCAAAACATCAGGTTGCCAGGTTTAGACAGGAACTGCTGGAACCAGATATGGCCTGCTTCGGTAGCGATACAGCATCACGCCTAGCACGTGTCAGCTCTTTCACAACATCCATCATGGAAGGCCTCTGTCTTGCGTCCTCCGTGGTGCATCTAAGGGCTATCGACAGCACACTGCATACTTCCTCCAGTTCAGCAGTGCCACATACCTCACGCATTAGGGCAGGGTCGCACACGGACTCGATCACATTGCCCTCATTCAGGGTGGAGGATACCCAGCTGACTAGGTCCACATCGTGAGGGAACGAGGGATCCAGGGCCATCTTTCTGGTAATCAGTTCAAGTAATACCACTCCGTAGCTGTACACATCGAACTCAATGGTACTCCTGGTTGAAAATGCCATCTCTGCCAGAAACCATAAGGCCCATTAGATATACATGTGCGTAATACAATGTCACTCAGTCTCCAGTTCAAAAGTATGAGCAGAAAGAAGCTGTGGCTGTATATGCACATTAGATTTTCAATGTGCACGTATTTGCAACGTATTATGCCCATCGTCAGTGTATTTACAGATTTAGCAAGCCTTTGTTTCCCATTCTTGTACTACATGTTCTACTATTTGTCAAACGATGAGGCAACTATAATGCATGACTGCATTAAAACAACCAAACTTACCCTTTTTCTCTTGAATAAGCTAAATGTTAACAAGGAATGGATACAAATTCTGTAAAAGATATCATGATTTTGATGTCATTATTTTTAACAAACACATACATGAAATCAATCGCAGCAAGCTCCGAACAGAAGAATGCAATAAAAATATGAAATAATTTATTGACCAAGCCAAGAAAAGCATGCACCATATTTTTAACATTCATACCTGGGGCCATATATCCAACAGTGCCAATGATTCCGGTAGTTTCTGAAGCAGCAGGAGACAGGTCGATAAGCTTTGCAATGCCAAAGTCTGAAATATGTGGCACCATGTCCTTGTCCAACAGTATATTTTTCAGTTTAATGTCGCGGTGAATAATGGCTGGGTGGCAGTCGTTGTGGAGATAAGCTAAACCATGTGCTGTACCAAGAGCTATGTCATACCGTATCCTCCACTCCAGAATTGGAGCTGGCTCAGCCCCATGGAGAACATCATAAAGGCTACCATTGTCCATAAATTCATAGAGGATCAACCCATACTCACGCCTGAACAAAACATCCTTTAGCTTTACTAAGTTCCTATGCCTAATTTGACCAAGCGTATTCATCTCCCTTATCATGCTTCCATGCAAAATCTTGTGTGCATGACCCACAAGCTTCTTCACGGCATATACTTCTCCTGACCTCAATGTTGCCTTGTATACAGTTCCTTGGCCACCTGTGCCGATGATGTACTTGTCATCAAAGTTTTCAGTTGATTCCAAAACCTCATTTAATTTAGAAGATGACTCCCCAAAAAATGGATTTAACTCTCCCTCAGGTTTAGTCTTGGAACCTCTGTATTTCAGAAAGATACAGAGTATCAGAAACACACCAACAAAAACTGAACCAAGACATATCATAGCTATCTTGACTCGGCCATGTACTCCTCTTCTCCTCAATGAACTACAAGGTTCCAAAACATTAGCTCCCTTGCAAGAAGAATCACCATCATGACAAGACACACAGAGATCTGAATTTCCACTAAATGGGCTTGGTGTAGAATTCATAAACCGTAAAAGATTCTCTGGCACTGGCCCGCTGAATCTGTTATTGGAAAGATTCAATGTATACAATGCACGTAGACTTCCTAACGGAGCAAGATCCCCACTGAGATTATTACCAGACAAATCTAAGCTGGCAAGATCCACCAAGTAGCGTAATTGAGATGGAATGCTGCCCTCCAGCCCATTGCTGCTAAGGTTTAGTGCAGTACTCAATCTTTTCAAAATTCCTAATGATGAAGGGAGATGACCACCAAGAGCATTGCCGCCAAGTTGTAGCTCGACTAGCCCATGTAACTGCGAGATACAATCTGGAATGCCTCCACTTAATCTATTCCCCTGTAGCCGCAGATTTAACATAAACTCCAGCTTGCATACTGTTGTGAGCGCAGAACCATTCAAAGAGTTGAAACTCAAATCAAACAAGTGCAACTTCGAGCAACTGGAAATCTGTGCAGGAATTGCCCCCTCTAGGCTGTTGTGGGAGAGGTCAAGACTTTCCAACTTCACTAATTGTCCGAGTTCGGGTGGTATTGGACCACCAAGCTTGTTTGCAGACCAGTTTATCGCTGTAATGTTAGCACACCTGCCCAAGCTTGCAGGAATATGACCACTTAAGGAATTGTGACTCAAATCTATGTACCGCAGATTTGCACAGTCTCGGAATTGCGGAACTTGCCCACTGAGATTGTTGTTATGGAGTCGAACTCGCTCTAAACTTGGGCAGTTAGCAACAGTGAACGGGATGGTACCATTGAGAAAATTATGCCCCAAATTCCAAACTGTTAATCTTTTACCCGAACAAATGTTCGGTGGGATTCCACCAACAAACCTATTATTTGTGAAGTCGATCTCTATTAAAGGGCTGTTAATCCCAAATCCTGGTGGTATGACTCCAGTGAACAGATTATCCTGTAGTTTGACGAACTTAAGGTGCTTCAACTCGGCCGACATTGGAGGTAGGCCCCCAGATAAGCTGTTGTTGTACAGAAGGACATATTCGAGGCCTTGGATGCCCCAAATATCCTGAGGGAACTCCCCACTGAGGCGATTCTCAAACAGAAATAGCTGCTGCAAGTTACGCAGATTAGCCAGCTGTTTCGGAACGGTGCCCTCAAGCTGGTTTGCGTCCAGCTGCAGCCACACCAGCGACCGACAGCTACCAATCTCAGGAGGGATCAGCCCAGACAAAGAATTCTGAGTAAGTATAAGGATTGATAGCTTTTTCAATAAACCGAGTGAAGTTGGTATCTGGCCAGAGAGACGGTTGTGGAGAAATGCAAGTCTGATTAAGCTGCTACAATTTCCCAGCCACCCCGGGATTTCCCCACTGATCTGATTCCAAGATAGCACAAACACTTCAAGCTTGCAGCTCTTGAATCTGAAAGAGATGTCGCCTGTAAAACTGTTGTTGTAGGCCTCAAAGAGCACGAGCCCTTTGATGTTGCTCAATGATCTCGGAAGACTCCCATTCAGTTTATTATCATATAGATATAGATTCTCCAACTTGGTGCAGTTGCCAATTGAGTCCGGCAGAGCTCCGGACAACATGTTCCCATCCAACCTAAAGTATTTCAGACTCTTCATTTCACCAACCGATGGAGGGATGGAGCCACTGAGTTTATTGTCTTGGAGATACACCCGCTCCAGAAACCGGTTCTTGAACAGCCCCTCAGGTATCTCTCCACTGAAGGAGTTGCTGTACAAGCCGAGCTGTGATAGCTTCTTTAGGTTCATGAGGGATGTCGGAATTCCACCGGAAAGGCTGTTCCCTGACAGATCCAGCAGGTCAAGCAGAAGACAATTTCCCAATTCATAAGGGATCGGACCGGAGATGTTGTTGCTTGACAGATCGAGTTGCCGCAGGTACTTCATACGCCCTACCTCAGGACCAATTGAACCAGAAACTTTGGAGTATGATAGATTGAGGTGAACCACAATGTTCATCTCACACTGAACTCCCTTCCATCCACAGGGAGTTGTATCAGAAGAACTCCAGTTCGAGCTTATGATATCAGGCAGTATGAGCCGCCTGGAGAGAGCCAGAAGGGCATGGCCATCTGAACTCAAACCGCAGCAGAGCGAGACTAGGTTGGAGAAGAGAAGCAAATGATGCCATAAAATTAGCCCCATTTGTTCCTGAAAAGAACATAAACCTTGGATTAGTCAGCAAAAAAAGTGCACCTACATGTAAAAAACAAAATCAACAAGACAAGATGTAGTATATGCTAAATTGCAGTTGTATGCCCCCTTTATCCATGCTCTGCTTGTTGAGCAACTGATTCGGTGACCCAAGTCCAAATGGACGAAGCAGAGGCAATGGACGAGCAGTTACTTCCCGCGTGGACGCCACAGCTGGAGGATGAACGCGACCTCCTCCGAATCACCTGCATTTATGGCGAGCCCGCCGGCCGCCGCGACTCTGCGGCGACAAGCGTAGCTACTGTCTGCAACCGGAGAGGGAGCAGTATCTCCCAATCTCGCTGTCTCCCTTCTGGACCAGCTTTCTTCGCTCCCGACCTCGGAGACCCCATCATAGCCGGCAACCTCCGTCGTTGGCCGACTCGCCACCAAGCCGCCGCCGCCGCCGCCGCCGCTTTTGGCGTGCTCCCGACCTCCCGAGCTCTGGCGAGGCGACCGTCACCGTTCTGCGCTCTCGAATCGGCCCATTGCACGAGTCCCCCTCTGAAACATAATGGGCTGGACTACATGAACTGGCCCACGCATTCTCTCAAGAGTCCTAATCACTAGTATTTTTTGTCCAAAAAAAAACTAGTATTTTGTGTTGTCATTTTCTTTTCCTTTTGCTAAAAAAACATTGCGCTGTCCTTCTCTTTTCATTTTATATTTTTATTTAGGCTAACTTCCTCACTTTAGTTCGGGTGCCTCATGTGTTTTAGTTTTTTTTCATTAATTTGATCAATGAATATTAGCTATAATGTCACAAAATAATAAAATATATACCGTTTGATAAACATTTAAAAGAAATTTTCAACGGTATAGTTTAATTTTCATTGAGTATAACTCACATTTCCTTGATCAAGTTAATATTTAATTTTCCTGAAATACGCGCAAAAACAAAAATGTGATGAAATAACATTGGTGGAGGTCTGGGCAAAATAACAAAATCAATGCTCCAAATACTTCCAACAACAGTCTTTTCATAGCATCGACGCTCCACCAATGTCATTTCATCACAAAATTTTTCCTAAGTAATTCAGAATTTCGGGGACTACGGAAAGGCCCATCCTAGCGCCGCCCCCGCCCTGAGTGACTCGGGGGCGACCCAACCCTAGGCGCTGCCGCCGCCCTCTCCCCCCCCCCTCCTCGCACCGCCGCCCAGTGAAACCCGCGTGGCAGACGGCGGCGGCGGGAGGACTTCCTTTCCCGACTCCCCTTCCTCCGCGGGCGGCGGATCTAGGCAGCAGGCGACGGTGTCCTGCGGCGCTGGCGGTCGGTCGCGAGGTGGCAGAACTCGGCGAGCGGTGGCGGGGCGTGGGGTGCACGGCGGAGGGCCTCGGTAGGCGGTGACGGGCGCTGGGCGAGCGGCGGCGCTCCGGAGTGTGCAGGCGGTGGTGGCCCCTGTGCGCGGTCGGCGGCTCCCTCTCCGACCCGGACGGCGCGGGGGGTGGCGGCGGCCCGACGTGGCCCGCGATCTGGACGCGGTGGGGTCGCCGGCTCGCTGGTCTGCCGGAGATCCAGGGGCATCATTGTCTCTGACTCGATCTGCTTCAGTTTGTGCTAGCTCCGGTACATGGAGACTGTCGTCATCTCCTGGTGCTGGCTACATGGATATGACGGCGATGGCTGGACCCTTGGTTAGGGCTGGATTAACGAGCAGCTCGGCTCGTTAAGCTTGTACTCGTTAAGCTCGTGCTCGTTAAGGCTCGGCTCGTTAAGGCTCGGCTCGTTAAGCTCGTTAAGATTAACAAGCAGGAAAGCGTGCTTGGCTCGGCTCGTTTGAAGCTCGTTAAGCTCGTGAGCGCTCGTTAACAGATTATAGTGTTATCAATATACATGATGAATGTGTAGGTATGGTTTTCAAGATAAAATATTATGACTAAGAAAAGAAATGAAGTAGTATGTTGCCTCATATGTCGATTAGATTAAATAGATGGGCTGAGGTGCTACAAAAAGTTTGTCACGTAATATGAAAATATATGTTGTGTTGTTACTAACCAGCTTAACAAGCTACTCGTGAAACTCGTTAGCTCGCTCGTTAAGCTCGTTAAGCTTAACAAGCTAAAATCAATGATTGGCTCTGTTCATTAAGAAGCGAGCTACGAGCTTAACGAGCCGAACTATCGAGCGCTCATTAAGCTCGCGAGCTACGAGCTTTTGGTCCAGCCCTAACCTTGGTCTAGTCTTTGACAGAGAAGGCGGTGGTACATGCACAAGAAGCGGATGGATTTCTTCGAACAGATCTGGGTGAAAACCTGCTCTTGGCTAGATGCCAAAGCCGGCGGTGGCGGCGCTCTATGGTGTCGTTCCCTTCTTGAAGGCATCGCCGTGGAGAAGTTCTAGACTACGATCTGCTACCTCCAGGAGAAACCCTAGATGGATAGATCAGAAGATGGCGACGCGTTTGTGTCGTTTCCCCCTCGGGAGCATCTTTCTTAGAGGTGTACGCGGGCCCGAGGGAGCAGTGGACGACGTCTTTGGTGGAGCGGTGCTTCATCATGCACATTGATGGTGACAGATCTTGATGGCATGACGCTTTGGAGATTAGGCGTCTGATGTGCGATGATGGACTCGCGCAGGAGGGTGACGCTGTTTGGCGTCATGGTGGCGTCGACGACAGCTAGACCGGGCAAGGTAGATGCAGCAGTACAGCTCTGAAGATGGATTGGTGGCAGGTGGCTGCGGCGGCCTCATACCCGGCAGGCGTCCTGGTTGGGACCCCAGGTCTTACATGTTTAGGTTTGGCTGCGAGGTATGTTTGGTGTTAGGCCCAGACTATCAGCATCCCTTCATCAACTGGATAGGAGTAGCGACAGATGTTGCCTAGACGGTGGCTTTAGTCTTACTGTTGTATGACTTTGTAAGGTCTTGTGTGAATAATTAATAAAGTAGTTGTATGCATCGTCTAGATGCAGAGGCTAGGGGTCATCCTCCTTTTCTAAAAAAAATCACAAAATTTTGCTCGCTGTGAAAACATTCATCAATGTTTATCAAGAAAAAAAATCCAGATTTCTTTGGAGTTTTCAAAAAATATTTTTTATTTTTCTGTTCATTAGAGGCATGTGAGCTCGGGGTTGAAAACTCCATGGCTCCATTCTACACTTGCTAGCAGTGTTTAATTTTCTTTTCAACTCCTCTCGCCAACCTAATAGCATTGTACCATCCACGTGTTGTGCATGGATTGATCAATGCCAAAATAGCGTTTTAGAAAATTGACGCGGGACACATGACGTAGTAAGGTTTACTCTAGTTTTAAATTTGGCACGAGGCGCTCGATTCGTGGGCGGGACCAAGGGCTCTAATGCAAGCAAATCATTCTCCGATCCTCCCATGTTCTCTCTCCTTCTCCACCTCTCCATCCTTTTCCTTTACCGAATTTTTCACTCTGAGCTGCTGCCTGCTGCTGTTCTCAGCTACTGACTGTATTTCTTCGTCCGCTAGCTAGTAATCTACTAGTGCAGCACTGCAGCTACAACAATGTACGGATTGGAACCAGAGAGCGCAAGGGTTTCTAGTTTGGGCATGCAAAAACTAAGAATCAAGCTCTGAATCCACCACACCGTCGACCACCCTGAAAAATATTTTGAAACGGGGAAAGTCGTCCACTCTAGGAACCTGTAAGCGAAACCTAAGGAAAACTGTTTTTCGAACGGGAAAAGGAGTTCTCTGATCCTTCCTGCCACCAACTAAAAGACCAGCATCCCGAAAAAAAAAACTAAAAGACCAGCAAAAGAAGAAGCCCAGGAGAAATTAACAAAGGAGAAAGAAAGAGCAGAGCGCACCGTACCGCCAACGCTGATCCTGTGCGCGCGTAGCTCCTGTGGCTGCAAGCTCACCGTGGAGAACGCCGGCTGGCGAGGTTTGCTAGGATATGGCTGCTTGTTCTACTCTGCTGCAAGTGCGTCCATGGCGACGAAGGGGGCAGAGAGAGAGAGAGAGAGGGCGGCTCGTCATATCATTGGTGCGACCTGAGCCTAGGATAAACAAACCGTGCATCACGTGGCAGGGGCGATGCTTATTTCTCACGTTCGCGTGGGGTGGGGTGGCGAATGATCCGGAGGCGTGTGTATTCTATGGATATTGTATTTTACTGTGCCCCGCTCCAAGTAACTGGTAGAGCAGAACAGACAGATAGACAGTGCACATTGGCTGCTGTCGGTGTGAAACCTCAAACCGGAAGTGCAAAAGGTAAAAGTCAGTTTGATCCAATTACGAACGCCAAAGCGCGCAGTTAATTAGGACTGAACTGCTTAGTAAACATAAAGGACAGGCTGAGCTTAACCAGGGCCCGCGAAGTTGGTGGACACTGGGATGAATGCGAAAGGTAAAGGTCATTTTGATTTGACCACCAGTTAGATTAGTCCATCCCAAACAGTTTGATTTGACCATCAGTTATATTAGTCCATATATATGTACTTACCAAACAGCGTGCGATTCTTCGTAAGTTTGACTGTGCTCACTACGAACGCCGCACCGACAGTAGTGTTCGTATGTACTCCAAAAGACCTTGTGTTTCTCGAAACATGCTTTTGTCCTGCTTTATACACAAGGCAACACAAAATAAAATATATGATCAAACGATACATTGTGATGAAAAGACCCTCTTACAAAGCAGATCCAAAGATAAACAAGAAACTAGAACAATCCTCACTTTTTTTTACAAGGTTAGAACAATCCTCACTTAGAGGAGGTGTTACGGGTCCGATCTAGATTGAGAGGGAGGAGAAGAGTAGGTGGGGATAATTTGGAGAAGGAGGAGGCCGGGGAAGGAGAAGGACAGCTTCTCGCTTCGTCTGTTCGGTTACAATAATTCTCGATGATCTGGACCGCTACCACTCCGCTACTTAACCCAGCCACACACGGCAACACGCACGCTGCACACACACACACACACACACACACACACACACACACACACACACACACACACACACACACACACAAACACACACGCGCGCGCGCGTTCCATCCATCACGCTAGGGCCCAGATGCAGCGCTTCCACGACTTGGCTCATCGCTATGCTTCTCTGCCATGGGGGCCCCGCTTGCCAGAGCACGTGTCTTGGCGATGACCCACCTACCAATCGTGACATTTTCCCCTCCTTGAGGACCGCCTTGACCCCAAGGCGATGTCGATGGAAACTACTACTTGCGTTGCTCTAGATCTTCCCAAATAGCCATGGCGGTCGGCAGATCGCTCCACTGAACGAGA